GTGTGATGGTGGCTGGTTTGAGGGCAGGTGCGTGCCAGTGAGCACTGCTGTGTGGCTTCCCAGACACCAGCTGCCCACCTCCCAGGGGCCTGCGTGGCTGGGGTTCCACCCCCTTGTTTTGTTTTTTGAGGCAGGGTCTCATTGTATCATTCAGGCTGCCCCTGAGCTCATTATGTAGCCCAGACTGGCCTTGAACTTGTGGCAGTCCTCCCACCTCAGCCTCCATATTGCCGTGATTACAAGTGTTCACTACAATGCCTGCCCCTAATTTTCTCTTTGTTTCTATTCTCTGTACTGATAGGTTGGCTCAGTAATAAAAATGTGAGATTTTTTTTTTTTGTTTGGAAAGAAAAGAAAAGAAAGAGAAAGAAAGAGAGAGGGAGAGAGAAAGAGAGAAGAAAAAAGAAAAGAGGAGAAAAACAGCAGGCTGAATTTTTTTGTTTGGAACTCTGCTTTATATGGAAGTGCATTTAATGGTGATTTACATTACTCAGGAGATTTGCTAACCATCACTGTCTGGCAAGGCTGCCTGGTTCTCTCCTTCCACCTGGCTGGGCCCAGGTACAGCTGTGTGCAGTTGCGGACGGGCGGTGCCTTCAGTCTAGTCCGGGTACCTCCCTGGAGCAGAAGGACGGGCACAGGGATACTGATGCTTGGTACGTCACTTTGCTCCTAAAGTGCCTAACCGCAGAGTTACTTCTTTTCCACGGTGATGTAGACAAACACCACGATGAAGAAAATGCCAAGGATGGCAAGTGTCAAGCACACTGGGAACTGGCTCCCAATGCCGCTCAGGTCCTCCAGGCTGTACTGCTTCTCTTGGGGGACGGTCCTACTTTTGATTCTGTGGTTCTGTGCTCTGGCAGGACACCTGTGGAAACATGAGTGGCTCCTAGGGTTGTGCACAGCTAGTTCCTGAATACCCCTTTAAAGTAAGAGTATAGATTTCCTTGAGGTTGGAAGAAGCAACCACAGTGTGGCTTTCAAGACAGCCCTGGATCTTCCCCTACACTGACTCGCACATGTGACCTTCTGTCAGCCTGCAACCCACTGATCTACAGCTGCCACCCACCAGCATAACCTCCCAGTGCTGATACAAAGCCTGACTCAGAGAGCTTTTACATTTCCCTGTTTAAAATCTGTATTTAAAAGAGCAAAAAGATAGCATACTTGCTGAAATGTTTTAGTGAGAGTTTGTTTCCACTTCTCTAACCCTGCAAAACCTGCTAATATTCATTCAGAGGGTAGGTAGCTTTCTAGGAAGTTTGAATGTTGGGGGCTGTCCCTCTGCCACTGAGCCAAACCTCTAGCGCCCCATGCCCCCACTTTACTTTCTGATTGATAAAATGACCCGTCTGGATTTTATTTCATATATATGCTCCCCACCACCACACTCCTCACCCATCTCCCAAGATAGAAACAGGAGCCAATGTTTCCAAGTGACTGCACATTAGGAAGGCTGGACTGCAGTCTCAGATCACAGACTTTTGTTGGCCCCCTCCACCACACCCCAGCCTGACTGCTTATGTTTGGTTTTGTTTTGTTTGGCAGCCTGCAGGCCTGCGCTCAAGCTGGGTTGTTCCTTCAAAGACTGTGCAGGGCCACCGTCTTATGTCTAATAGAAGCTGCAGACTGGATACCGTGAAGGCCCTACAGGCTTTGAAATTATGCACCATTATAAATCTATCTCCTTCTCAACAGATTCTTTACAGGCTCAAGCCCTTCACAGAAATCTGGATGACAATGTTTTCCCAGGAGTTACAGATATAATAATGCCGACTTCCTCGTCTGCTCATAAGGGATGCTCGGTACCTTTTTCCTTTGGGGCACTTCTGGTACACGCAACAGACTTCGAGAGCTCTTGTTTTCGTGGCAGGAGCCCTGGGTCTCTGACAAACACAAGGAAAATGTCAACAGTTTCCAATGACTTGTACAAAAGACGTTGGTTTTTATTCTAGAAAAAAAGCATCTGATCTGAAGACTAATCAGTTTTTGGCACATCAGGTGGTTTGATACTTTACAACACAAACTTCAAGTTAGCTTTTCCTCAATGACTAGCAAGAGCCACGGAGTCTATGAAATATTTTACTTCAGGGACTCAGGGGAGAGTGACAGACGCAGGACTGATAGGGCAAACAACAAAAACAGCACCCTGTTCTTAAGTTCTGACTCCCTAGTTTGCACTTTTTCTTGTTTATGGTCTGGAGCTTTTTTCTATAAGCATGTGTCATTTTTAGGCAAAGAGAAAGTTGCTTTAAAAATACGTTGAGCTGGCCTTGGTAGCACACATGTAGTCCTAGCACTCGGAGAGGCTGAGGCAGAAGGATCTTGAGTTCAAACCCAGCTTGAGCAACTTAGCCACTTAGTGAGACCTTGTCTCAAAATAAAAAGTAAAAAAGGGCTAAAGACATAGCTCAGTGTGAAGGCCCTGGGTTCAATCCCCAGCACCACAAAATGAAATAAAACTAAACTAAATAAAACTACAAACCACACTGACTATGAATAAGGGCTAGAAAATAATTCAGAAAATGAAATGCCTCTCTGTAAGAGAAGAGGAGAATCATGGTTTTTTATTCTTCTAAATAAGCTCTTTCGTTATTTTTATCTTTTTTTTTTTTTTTTTTGCCGGTACCAGGGATCAAACTCACGACCTTGCACTTGCCAGGCAGGCACTTATGCCACTGAGCTATATCCCCAGCCCTCATGTTATTTAAAAAAAATAAATAAAAAGGGGTAGCACTTGGTTCCCTCGCTGTGCAATGAAGTTGTAAAGATGAAGTGACTTTATCCATGCAAGGTGATTAAAATATCTCCTCCTGGCATAGCGTAAGCATCCAATAAATATTAATAATGATTATGGTAGCGATAATTATTAATTTCATGTTACTAATATTCCTCATAGTCTGGTTTTCCTTTTTGTGCAGAGCGGAGGATCAAACGCTGGTTTTCCTTTTTTATTGTCCACTAAAATGTAAGATTTGGCCTTCTCATTCTGTGTGTGCCAGGCCCTGGCCAGGGACCCCTCGACTGTGAAGATGAGAGCAGGGCACGCGGATGGGCGCCAGCACAGAGGCGGATGGATGTGTGTGCAGGGCGACTGCGAGGGCGCGGAGGAGTCCTGGAGACCCCTGAGTTACCAGCAGGGGCCCCGCACCGGCTCCTAGCAAGCAGGTCGCCAGGACGTCCCGACAGGGCCCGTATGACTTTACACTGTCCCGGAGCTTCCCCGCAGGTCTGAACCCACCTGCTCTTCATGAAGACTTGGGTGGCTTCCGGGTGCCCAGCAGGGCTCTGCGCGAAGCAGGCGGTACCAGCCTGGCCACCACATCCCAGGGGGCGGCCCCACCCCCACCCCGTGAGAGGCGCTGCGGCTGCTCCCGAAGCATCGGGAATATCTTTTATTAAGCAAGTTCCTTTTTAAAAAGCATTTTTATTTATGGAAAATTTAAAGCTCACACAAAAGTACACAACAGTGCAATGAGCCCCCGCACCCCCTCACATGTCACTCCTTTTTAATTTTCTTAAATTTAAAAATAGATATGTTAAATAATAATAATTGGGGGTAGAAGTCTACTGCGAAATCAAATTATAGGTTTTCAGGGTTCTTAGGCAAGCAAATACTCCCTCCTACCCTGAGGAGGTTTAGATCTTTCTTCCTTTTTTGTCTCCCTCCCTCCATCCCTTTCTTCTTTTCTTTTCTTTTTTGAGACGTGCTCTATGTTGCTCAGAGTGGTTCTGAACTCCTCGGCTCAAGCAATCTTCCTGCCTCAGCCTCCGGAGAACCTGGGATTATAAGCATGAGCCATTGCACTTGGCTATCCGATTCTTTTATAATTTATCTTTATTGCTATCATTTATATGTGGAGTTCTAGAGTATGTAAAAGAACATTTTGATTTTCAAACTGGATTAATTATGGCCTATCCACCTGACTGTGCAGCTCTCCGTAATAACACTATGAAGACTGCAGAACAGGAAAAAGGCTGACACTTAATGTTACACAGTGGGCAGAGTACAAAATCCTAAAGGCACACAGACAAAAGCTACAGGGAGCTGGGCGTGACAGTTCACACCTGTCAACTAGCTGGAAGGCTGAGGCAGGAAGAGCACAAGGTCCAGGCATACTTGGGCAGCTTTCCAAGATTCTGCCTCAAAATAAAAATAGAAAGGCCTAGGAGTGTAGTTCAGTCTTATCGTGCTTGGCTAGCATGTGCAAGTCTGGAATTTAATCCACTATACTGCCAAAAAAAAGGAAGAAAAAGAAAAACAAAACCACTAGAGAGCAATCAACACAAAACCAGTTTTTGCATCAAGTGGTGTATTTGTAGTTAATTTATATTTTGCCTTTAAAACCTCCCTTTAACACTGTTATAATATGACTTTCACCCTAAGCAAGTCACAATGGAACTGAAAAATTCTGGTGTTCATTAAAGCAATGGTATAGCGAGGGTGAACGGCTCCTGGGAAAGACACGGTATTGTTGCCCCTCTCCCTGTGCCAGAGACAAAATCTGCAAAGCTTCAGTTTTTGCCAAAGTAGTCAGAGCCCTGTGGTGACTGTGTGGCCTTCTCTGCTTCTCCACCCTCTCCCTACGCCCCCAGCCTGCAGGCCAGAAGGTTCTGCCAACCCACACTTCTAAGACCTAAGCCTGGGTCCCGCCCGGCAGGAGCAAGTCAGCGATGCATGGATCCACGAGCCAGGAGTGAGTATTGCACACACTTGCATGGCACTTCTGGGGTGCCAGGCACTGGTGTAAGCATTTTACATAAATAAACTCACTTAATTTTCAACACGGCCATAGCTGTGAGGAAGGCGCTTCTACCATGCCTATGCAAGGGGAGGAAACTGAGGCACCAGCAGCTGGCCTGTGGCCACGAGCAGGTGGCCCACAGAGCTGGGGCCAACCCAGGCCGTGAAGTCCCAAGTCCCTGCACCCTATAAGCTCACTGTATTGTAGCACAGCCGTGCGGCCTCGCTGGATGGAACACCGGCTTCCGATGCCTGTTACCTTGGACATTCGCTGTCCCTCAATTCACTTAATCTTTCTAACAAGCTGATGAGAAGCCATTATAGTTACCATTTTATAGATGAGAAAGTAGTAGCTTAAAGAGCTGCATTACATGCCTCAGGTAGCACAATTAATAAAAGGCATAGTTACATTTTTAAAACCCAGATATTTTAGATCCAAAGTGGTTTTTGTTATTTTTCTAGAGATGTATTTCTTGTGAAATTTTTTCATTTTATGAAATAAAATACAATTTTATAATCAAATAATAAGAAATAATAATAGTTATTACACTGTGTATCGTTATTGTCAAAGTAATTATGCAAGCCGGGCTTGGTGGTGCACAGCAATAATTCCAGCACTTGGGAGGCTGAGACAGGGCCTCACAGAGAGTTTGAGGCCTGCCTGGGCTACATAGTGAGTGAAGGCCAGCCTGAACTACATAGTAAGACCCTGTCTCAAAACAAACAAACAAACAAACAACAACAATAAAAATCAAAGTAGTTACTCAGAGTATAAGATATACACTAAAAAGAAGCAAACAGATATTAACACAAGACTTTCTTTTTCCAACGTCTTTTTATTTATTTATTTATTTTTTTTGGGTTTTTCTCCGGTACCGGGAACCGAACTCACGACCTTGCGTTTGCCAGGCAGGCGCTTTTTGCCGCTGAGCTAAATCCCCAGCCCCTCCAACGTCTTTTTAAAATAAATATTTCTAAACCAGATATGATAGCTCATGCCTGTAATCCCAGCATTCTTGGAGGCTGAAGCAGGAATATCAAAAATTAGCCAGACTGAACTACACAGCAAGTTGGAAACCAGTCTAGAACATAATGAGACACTCTCTCAAAGAAAAGGACAGGAAAGGGGGGCTGGGGATGTAGCTCAGCGGCAAAAGCGCCTGCCTGGCAAGTGCAAGGTCGCGAGTACGGTTCCCGATACCGGAGAAAAAAAAAAAAAAAAAAAAAAAAAAAAGAAAAGGACAGGAAAGGAAGAAAATCTATTAGGAGAACCCATCATTGGAAACATATCAAAATGTATTTGTAAAAACTGTTTCCATTAATTAATATATTATCAAGTCATTAATTTCCTGCAGAAGTCTTTGTAGTCATTCATTCTATACTTAAATATTTCAGAAAAATTGGTATTTTATATGACTTCTCCAGATGGAGTACTTTTGCTAATTTTGGCTTACTTGTGTATATCATATTGAATTGAAAGTGGAGTGCGTATGAGTACTATGTTATACTGTTTTATATTATAGTGTACTACAAAGCACTGTGCTAATAAATCTCATTATTTTTGGGGGGAAGGGTGCTGGGGATTGGACCTAGGGCTTTTGCACTGAACCACGTCCCAACCCTTTATTTTTTATTTTGGAATAGGTTCTTGCTAAGCTGCTATATTGCTCAGGCTGGGCTCTAACTTGGAATCCCACTGGCTCAGCCTCCTAGAGTAGTGGAATACACATATGTGCCTCCACACTGAGCTTATATTTGATTTTTGGAAAATGATCCACCTCGACTAAAGCCATTGCTAACCGTCTGTAGAGAAGTAGGGGTTTCTTTGCATTTCCACAATGCAAATAATATCTTACATTGCAGACACAAAGCTCCCCAAAATATGGGCCAAGCCTATGGTTACAGGCAGCCATTTAAGAGGAGCTGTATTCTATCTTCCTTCTTCCTGCTCTGGTACTTCTTACCCTTGGACTTGTAGGAGTCAGGAGCCCTGGGGCTTGGGCATGGGATTCTCTCCAACCAAAACATGACAGCCTTCCAGTGACTCTGGTTAATTAGCTGATGTTTTGTTAACACACACACAGACACACACACACACACACACACACACACACACAAAGTCAGGCATTTTTACAAATGACA